ATGGTGCATGATTTTTTTGTCCACATCGTTCTACACTGTGCCCGACCGACCCAAATGAACTATTCGAAACGCACTGGGACCGTATGATTGACGACTTCCATAAAGACCTTGCTGGAGCACATGTCTCTAACGACATTCTGAAAGCCATGGTACTTCTAGACATCGAAAGCCGCCTGCAAAAAGAAGGGAAAAAACTTGAAGACGTTGGTCTTAACTACTCCCATAGATCGAAATGAAGCAACTTACATTTCGCAAAGACCACGTCGAGAAGAAATTCCTAGGCTTATAGACGATGAGATATCATACGACAAACAAGAACTGCAACGTACGCTTGATACGAATCTCCCGCGACTCACACCGTCGCAACATGCAATATTCCAACGTGTTGTTAATGCTGCAGAAAATGCCGAGTCCCTCTATCTATTTGTTGATGCACCTGCAGAAATCGACAAAACATTCTGCATCAACACCATACTAGCACACATACGCCTCCATGACCAAATAGCACTTGCTGTCGCATCTAGTGGCATCGCAACCACACTTTTTGTCGGCAGCCGTACGTTTCACTCTCGTTTCAAAGCACCACTCACGCCTGCAGAAACATCGACTCTTGACATTCCCAAACAGAGCACCTTAGCACAACTCATAAGAATGACCGTTGTCATCCTCTGGGACGGAGCCTCAATGATGCACAAATACCACATAGAAGCGTTTGATAGGACTTTGCAAGATATTTGTTCGTCCGACCAACCGTTTGGAGGAAAAATTGTCGTTCTCGGAGGTGACTTCCGACAGATCCTCCCTGTCATCACAAAAGGAACCTGCGCACAAACAATCGACGCGTGCATAAAATCCTCTAAGTTGTGGTCTTGCTTTGAAACGATGCACCTTTCAGAAAACATGTGTGTACTCACTCAAAGCAACACCACCGAAGCACGTGATTATGCCGCGTGGTTGCTGCGTCTCGGCAATGACGAACTTCTTCCCTTGCATAACACAACACCGGACACAGTCAAACTCCCCCCTCACCTATGCCTTCATGGAGGAACAACAGACCTCATTGCATGGACCTTTCCTGCCCTCTCAACAAATTCGAACAACCCTCAATGGCTCGCTGACCGCCTGATCCTAGCGCCCCAAAACAAAACGGTCGCCATCCTCAACAGTATCATATTGAACCAATTTCCAGGGCCTCTGATTACATCTCTAAGTATTGATACTCTCCTCTCGAATGACAACTATCCCGATGTCTTTGCAGACACTCTCAACACCCTTGACCTTCCCTCCCTGCCACCACACATTTTCCACATGAAAAAAGGGGCACCCGTTATTGTCTTAGGAAATATTGCTATGCGAAATGGTTTGTGCAATGGAACACACTTAATCGTTGATGACATTACCAACAATAGGATCCTGCATGCACGCACCCTTCCTCCACTACGACCGGTTCTCCTTCCACGCATTCTATTGACTGTCACTGATCAAAGCAGCCCTTTCCCTTGGCAAAGAAGACAATTCCTTGCCCGGCCTGCATTTGCAATAACTATCAACAAATCCCAAAGCCAATCCATCAAACACGCAGGAATTGACCTTCAGCAACACGCCTTTGCCCACGACCAACTCTATGTTGCTGCCTCTCATGTCAGAGACCCGTCCCATATTCTTTTTGCGCTTCCCGGCGAAGCGGACCTATCAACAAACATTGTATACAAAGAGATCCTGGCATAATACTCACATGGCTCTTCCCCTCTTTGCGTCTTTTTTCTGGAGCAACACGGCTTAGACGACATTACTCTCAACCAACTTGACATTCCACTACCTGCTCCGACGAACGCACCTGCGACTATTGCAACGCCTTCCACTGCTCACACACCTCTTCGACCACATTACCATTCACAATCCACTTCAGAGGACAACCCACAAGAGTACAACAGATGGGACGGGTGGCACAACGTGCTGCATCCTGACACCATAGAACACATCATCGACTAGATTCTTTGGGAAGACTTCCTCCCGATAGATCACGCTGCTTTCTCCCCCTCCCTTTACACCTTCTTCGCTTCATACAAACATAGGCATGAAAAAGAACTGAATCGTCCACCGCCTTATCCCTTTGCAAATACAACATTCGCCCACTCCAAAATATTTCTCTTGCAACTACTCCAGCGTGACCATTACCGATCTACATGATCTCACGCAGACCTCGCAAAGTACCGACACGATCGGATACTCGACGCCTACCATAAATATACCTTCATCACTTCTGCACAGCCCACGCCACCCCCCCTTCTCCTACCAACTCACGAAACAGACCCTCAGTGGTGAAAGTCACTCGAACAATGGGGATGTACACATGCAACAACAATGATCCACGACATACTCGCTTCCCGCCACACCATCTCTATGTATAACATTCCCCACTCTCCCCGAACTTGGGAATATCTCAGCGATCTCATCGTCGTCCATCACCGTGAAGCACAATGTCAACTGCTTCCCTTCTAGATCTACAAAGCAGACATCAACCGAAGAGCAGTTTCCTTCCTCCAACGTCCGGTCTCCTCCGTCCATCCAACGTGAAGATCAACAAAAACTTCAACAGCAGCACAAAAACTACAACAACTCGGGGAGACTGCTACAACATCTCCGACGACTTTACGACGAGTGCAACGGCTCGCACAGACTGATGCAACAAACACAACTCCAAACGTGAAAAGACAGTTATGAACTATCCTGTACAATTCTATATAGACTTTTTCCTTTCCAAAAAAAGTTCAATGTTTTTCTTCCATGTTGTCATCAAATAATTGGTTCGTTTGTCGCTGCTGTCTTTAATGCTTCGTTCGTTCTTCGACCTCCTGCTTCCTGTCTCATAGTGGGTTCGCATCTTTGACTTCTCCTTCCTTCGCTGTGAATACAATCCTCGCTCCCTCCGTTGAACAACCCAATCTCTTTTCTCATGCCCTGTCTATCCCTCGCTTCTCCACACCTTCACCTCTCACTTCTTCGTCCCTCTTCCGACTCCGCCGCAGGCGCAGCCGCAGTGGGTCCCCTTGTCCTAACCCTTAAGCAATATTGGCCTCGGGGGGAGGGCGATGTTCCGCTTCGCGCCGGAAGCGGGTTGAAGTTTTGATGCGGGCCGACGGATGAAGGCGATCGAGGGAGGGGGGGCATGCAGAGCGGTGCGTGCATCGAATTGTTAACAGCGCGCCAGAAAATGAGAGAGCGTGCCCATGGGGCCCAACGGTGGCGGGCGTCGATGCGAGAGTATATCTCGAAGCGCCCGCCGTCGGATAGCAAGATATGCTGTTTTGTGTCGCGCTCTTTTTTTTTTTTTTTCCTGTTATCGACCGTTTTTTTTTCTCGGTTTTCCTTTTCGTTTCTTTTTTGTCGTTTTTCTTGTCTTTGACCGTTTTTTTTTTTTTTTTTTTCCTTCTTTTCTTTCCTTTTTTTGTTTCTCTTTATTTTCCCATTGTCTTCTTTGCCTGTTTTTGGCGGCCGGCGACAAGAGGGCATCGATCTTTTTTTATTTTCTTCCCCCTTCTTTTCTTTTATTTTTTCATTTGTCACTCATTTTTCCATTGTCATGTTTGTCCGTTTTCGGCGGCGACAAGAGGGCCTCGGACGGGAGAACGGAAATGAAAAAAGAAAGTTTCACACGCACGCACTCACTCACTCACTCCCACCCACCCACCCACCTGCCTGCCTGCCCACCCACTCACGCACACACACACGCCCACCTGCCTGCCCACCCACCCACGCACGCATGCACACACACACACACACACATATATATATATCGTCAATATATATATATATATATATGTTAGTAAATATTTGGAGTTTGCTCACAGTGGTTGGGTCGGGGTTTGAACCTACGTACAAATTTTGAAATACCCAATTGCCCGATGAGATAACCGTTTAGGTGGACTGGGTCCCTGTCTGCTTTTGGGGACTGCTTTCTTTTGAAGTGTATCCGACGTCAGGCTGCTGGCACGTCGCGATGTGTCTGTGTGTCCGAACCGTAACGTCGCACAGTGTGGTAGGCGGGTCAATAATGAAATAATAACTACGACGCAGTCAGGGTTAACTTTTGTAATTGTATTTCAAACTGCGTTTTCGCAGTTTAGTCAGGGCCCGAGTTTCAATTGCAGTTGAAACTCGGGCTGGCCTTTTCGAGCAGTTCAGTTAGGCACATGGCCGTTTTTTTTTTTTTTTTTTTTTTTTTTTTTTTGTCGCGTGTTGTGCCGTGGCTGGGAAAAAAAAAAAAAAAACTCATGGTTGGGCCACGACCAAGATGTCTCGGCCACACCCCAGACTGGCCACGACCGAGATGTCTCGGCCACACCCCACATTGGCCACGACCGAGATGTCTCAGCCACACCCCACATTAGCCATGACCGAGATGTCTCGGCCACATCCCAGATTGGTCACGACCTAGATATCATGTGGGGGGCGTGGCGGGGCCGCCCTACACAATTCACAAGTTGGGTCTGCATTTCAACAATGCGTTGTGGTGCTTCTCTTGCAATCTTGCGGTCTGACGCTATTCTCCGTTTTCGGGTTGACAGAGGGGAATGGCATGACAACCTGTTCTCTCTGTTGATGGGTCTGTTCAGACGGGGTGTTAGATCTGCGGGTATTGAATGTCTTCCTGGCTCTACTTGGGTTGATAAGTGGTCCACTATGTTACCGCGCGTTCATTGATCACGCGTTCCTCGTTCAGTTTATGAACGCAGTGAACGCGCGTTCACTTAACGCGCCTGAACGTGATGGACGCGTTCGCGCAGTGGGTTGTCGGGGGTGGGGAGGTGCCTGCGAGACCACGGGAGCGTCGGCGGTGCTTGGGGGAGCCTTTGGGCGAGGTCGTCGACTAAACCCAAAAAAAAAATTGAACGCGCGTCGAATTGTTTTGACCGCGCGTTCAATTTTTTTAAACGCTCGTGCGCGTTCAATGAACGCGGGTTCAATAATTTGAACGCGGGCTCTGTACGGGATTCGAGGCCTTGGGGGGGTGCATAGCCGGCCAGACAGGGGACGCTCGGCGGTGGCCCGACAGGGCCTTGTGCGGTGAGGGACATTGGCGGGAGTTGGAGCTTCGTGGGACAGGCTGAGGGCAGACTGCTTCGGTGAGCGTTTCGGCGACCGAGCACGATGCTGAGAGGTCAGGCTCGGCTGTTTAAGGATGCGGGTGAGGACGAGAACCAGAAGGCGCATAAGAAATGCTGCGTGTACAAGTACATCCACGTGGGACAGAGTCTCGACGAGAGATTCTGCGGCAATCGCATGTTGAAGTGCGTTTTCTGCGGCCATGAGTTCCAGGGCAACCAGTTCGTGGCGTCGCGCCATTTCCGGCAGGGCAAGGGATGTCCGGAAGTGACCGACGACGCACTTGTCGACATCCACTACAACAGTGACTACAAGATGTCCGACAAGCTCCTAGAGCGGATCAAGCGGTTTGAGGAGCTTCACGGTCCAACGCCTGGGATGGATCTGCGACGAGACGAGGGGGGGGAGGGAGAGATTAGGGACGCCGGGGAGCAGATTGACGTGGATGGCGATGTCGAGGAGGTTGCGCGGGCATGGTCGTCAGGGAGGGAGCGAGGGAAGGGCGTTGTCAGAGAGTCGTGGGGGCAGCAGTGCCAGTACTTTGCATCGGCGCACGTGTCGGTTCGTACACGGGCAGGTGTGGATACGGCTGAGGAGGATCCGTCTACGGGGAAGAGGAAGGAGAGAGAGGAGGGGGCGCGACCGACAGCAGCACAAAAGAGGCTAAGGCAGAACACGATCACGGAGTCATTCTCTTCAAAGTGGCAGATGGAGTTCAAGAAGAGGTGGCTGAGGTTTGTGTACAGTGAGCGCCTCGCGTTCAACGTCTTCCGGAGCGACCCGTAGTTGGACGTCGTCCGACACTTAGGGAATCGTCAGGGCCAGTGAAGGTTTTGTGGCCTTCAGAGAACGAGATTGCGGACATAGAGACCATTGTCCACACGGCGGACGATGTGGGAGCTGATCTCGCGGAGGTCAGGGCTCCTTTCTATGTCACGGGGCCCACCATTATGTCAGACGGAAGGAAGTCACGCGATGCTAGACCCATCGTTAACTTCCTTGCTGGCGGGTCGGTTGGGGTGATGCTCGTCTGGACGATGAACAAGGGTTTGTCGAATGCGGACCACCTCCCCGTAGCCCTCGACGCGCGCATGCGCCCCGCGGCACCGCGTTTAATTTTTTCATGCACGCACGCGCGCAGCGCGTTTGAACGCGATTGAACGCGGGGCCGGGGGATTTGAACGCGCGCGTTTGAACGTGAACGCGCGTTCACGGCGTTCATACGGTTGCACAGGTGGTCCATTCTCCGCCGCGTTTTTGGAACCACCACGGTTTCGGGATTTGCTGGCGTTTTTTGTCTTCGTGAAGGAAAAGGATATTTTGAAAAAGGTGGGGGGTTTGTTTTCTCTCCAATCGCGTTTACACCTTCAGGGCGTGCTATCCATAAAGGAGAACTGAGACTCCTCTTGCAACAACCATGGCGTCGGCGGTTCTTGTGCCAGCGATCTTGTTCTTCTCCGATTCGCCTGTTTCGGGCGGCAAGGGAATTTTCCAGAAAGGAAACCCGGTCTCGACTTAAGGGTATTATCGCTAGGGAAATCAAGCGACGCTTGCAGATTGACATTCGAAATAAGATAGTTGTTCGAGTAACGTTCGATCATCGCTTGTCTTCTGCCCACGCCGTGTGCACCAGTTGGTGCTTGGGATTTTGGGAGGGTCTGATTTTCCGGGAGTTGTGGTGAAGTTCCTTTGTTCCAGGGTAAGGCTTGTTTGGAAAAAGAACCGATCCATAGGTGACATTATTCTCAACCATAGGAAGATTGCTAGACGCTTTGATTGGCCGTGTCCGTGTTTTGATGGTAATGCTGATTGGGAAAGGCACGATTTCCATGTTATGACGCGCATTGGTAATATTCCTGGGATCCTTCCAATTTTCTGGAATTCCATAAATATTCCAGTAGTGCCGCAGGGTTGGGGGTTTGATGAACTTGCTCATGAATTTTTGCGCTTGAATAATCTCTGTCGTTCTGCAGTTCAGATTGATAGAGAGGTTGTGCTTGCCTGTTGGAACTTACCCGCTGGAGCTGCTTATGCACCGGATCCCGTTCTCATTAGATGGGTGCGTAGACTGCTTGCATACGCTTGCGTGCCGATTGATAGGAATACTGCTGACACGCTTGTGTTGTGCCCCCGATTGTATGTTCACTTCCTTAGGATGACTTTCGAATGGAATAGATCCTTTTTTCCTGTTGATGTTGAATCTGCTGTTGTATTGGCGGGTATGAAGGAAGCCTTTACCGATGCTCATTTGGATCGCATTGGTAAGCGAAATCCTCAGGGGGATTTTGGACATGCTGTTGTGCTGCCTAAGCACAAAGATTTGAGCAGATGGCGACCCATCTCCCCTACCTTCTCTGAACCAGCTAAGCTGGCCTCATCGCGGGTTGCACGTGCACTCAACTGTCTGCTCTTTGCCTTACCTGCCTCATCTAACTTCAATCTCAAAGCGGTTGATTGTTTTAAGGACGGCTTGGCCAGGATGAGTAGAGCAGTGTCTAGCTTGGGGAATGTTATGGATATGGAGTCAGCATCATTTGATATCAAGGATATGTTTATTTCCTTACCGCAGGTAAATATTTTGCAGGCAATTGAATGGCTTGTTGACATCTATCTGAACCGTGGTTGTGTAGGGGTAACTGTGGCTAAGCGAGGGAGAAATGCTTACCTTTCTTTCGGAACCAACCGGGAGGGTTATGTGTTGATTGGTTTATGGCAGAATCTTGATATGGTAGCATTTGATCTCCGTTGCACTTATGTATGGTCGGTTGACGTGCTCCTTAGGCAAGTAATTGGTGTTCCGATGGGGAAATCGACGAGTTGCCCTTTGACTTGCATTTTGTGTGCTCGGGCGGAGCACAAATTTGTTACTGGTCTAGGAACGGATAGGAAGTTAGTCTTCGGTTTTCGGATTGTGGATGACGTCAGCATTTTCATCGCTAGGAGATTGAGAGATGGGGAGGAGAAAGCACGGATGATTCTTGTGGCCTTTCTGAGGTGTTATGGGGAGAATTTGAGGTTAGTTAGAACTGATACGGCAGGTGGATCGGGTTGGGGTTTTGCCGGGACACAGGCGCAAAGGATTGGGGCTGAAATCTCCACGGTAGCCATTGTTAAGAACGCTGAGCCAATTCTGAAACATCGACGCCTCGTTTTTGGCTCCTTTCAGGACTTTTGTTCCTACGGATCGAAGAAAGCCAAGATCGCGGCTATCCTTGGTACGCTTTCTCGAATTCACCGGTGGTCATCTGATGGAAGGATGCAAGTTTTCCTTTCCATCAGATCAGAGCTCCTGTTACGGGACTATCCTCCTAAGCTGATTGATTCAGTGTTTCAACGATTTGCTGTTAATGCCGACTCACCTGAGGCGGTCGTGGTATTGGCCCTGGGGGTTGGTCCTGCTCATTAAGGGCTTGGGAGGCCTTCCCAGGCTGGCCCCTAACTGGGCCTGTGTATCCTTCTAGGGTTTCGCCTCTTCTTTCACCTTGCCGAGTTCCTGTATGGCCTGATGATTTTTTCGAACACAAGGGATGATGTTCTGACACCGTGACTACCCTCGCATATCGGATCATATATTGGTTTTGGCACCCGCCTTCGGGTACTGTGTCATACATCGGTATCTTGAATGCACCTACCTTCGCCTGCCGTATCATGCATTGGCTTTTGTTTTTGAATGTACCTGCCTTTGACCACTGTACTTTGCATTGACGTTGGTCGGCCCTACAGGCTGAACTACTGGGGATTTCCCGCTTTTTTTCTCGACAGTTTTTGGACTGGCAGCACGTCTAGTTGCCCGTATGGGCCCTAGCGGTTTGGAGGTACCATAATTCGCCACGGCTTCTGTATATTTCTTCGTTCGACGAGACCTCTGCCTCTCATTTTTGCGACGAGCGTCACGCTAGTTCATCGTGTACAACTATCTTCTTTGACAGGTTGGCGTGCGTCAGGCTGCTATCGTTGCCACCATTGCGTCTGACATTTTTTCTCGGGTCCTCCTGCTGCAGCGCCTTTGCACCCGGTGGCGGCGATTGGTCCTCTGGAGCGAGCTGCGATTTTCTGCCTATTTTTTTTGTGTGTTCGACTGTGTCCTTGTTTGTCTTTTGTGTGCTCTGTCTTTGGGTGCAGGCTGTAACTGTTTCTGTACCGGGTTGACGATAACCATGGCAGCTGATGGAGCTGGTCGTCTCTCTCTTCAGCGGTGGTCTCCTTTCAACTATGGGCTGCACGTCTAGTTGCGATCTGGCTTCTCCACACGAAGGCATGCACGATATCACTAGGAGTGTGTCTTTGAGTTTTGGTATTTCGACAGTATATATAGATGACAAGGCGTTGAAATGGTCATCTAGCGAGAGTCAAGTTGCTCGGGGTGTTTCCTTCTAAGCCTCCTGATGAGTCTACTTACGGGGTAGACGAAACCCGTAAAGGTGTGGCCATCTGGTGGGTGCAGTTCTGGGTGTGCATAGTCAATTGAGTGAGTACTCGGTTGGCTGTGGTTTTGGATTGAGGTGTGGCGAATTGATGGCGATGGTTGGGGATACAATCAATTGTTTACTGTGATGGATTGAATTTTGCTCTCTGCTTCAAACGCGCGTGATGGTATGGTTGCCTTGGTGCATCTTTCGTTCCATTCTCATGCTAACAACTGTTTCGCCGAACAACTTTTCACTTTCAAAGGCAGCCATCGTTTTGTTTCTGTTTTTTTTTTTCTTTTTTTTTCTTCTTCTTTTTGTATTCTTTTCTCAATTTCACCTCACACTACCTACCTACCACTACTCCTAATTGTAGGCATACGGGGAACCCCGTAGCAGCCAGAATCGTGTCCACGAGAGAACATGCGGGTGCTGCTCCCGGCCTGCTTGTGGGCGATACCGACTAGGGGATTACCGGTAGCATCAGGGACCATGCCAACATGACCAATCCCTGTGCCAACCCTCAGGTCCCCTCCCCTACAAACATCAACAGACTCTGCTCAATGCCGATCAGGGGATCCAGTGGTCTATCTCTAGGTGGCGGGAGCCAAGCATGGCCAGGAAGGTACACGAGGGCAATGGGGATCGAACCCACGACCTCCTGAATGCCACTTGCGTGCCTTACCAACTGAGTTAGGCCGCAGGATTTTTCTTTTCTTTTTGGCCGTCTTTCCTTTTTTTTTTTTTTTTTCATTCCGTTGCTTTCGGCGCCACTTTCCTCTTTTTGGCCGCTGCAGCGGCCGTCGTCCCCTTTTTTTTTTTTTCGTTTGGTCAGTTCCGATGCAGACAGTTTGTCGCATACCTTTTTCTTTCGTTTGGTCAGTTCCGGTGCAATCAGTCTGTCGCGTTCCCACTGCTCGCTTCTTTTCTTTTTTTGCTTTCCTGCTCGCTTCTTTTCTTTTTTCGCTTTCCCGCTCGCTTCTTTTCTTTTTTCGCTTTCCCGCTTTCTTTTCTTTTTTCGTTTTTGTCGCGCTCCCGCTTTTCATGCCCGCGTTAGCGACAACTTTTTTGTTTTCATCGCGATCCCACTTTTCGTGCACACGTTAGCGGCAAAAGGCATCAGGGCTGCACAAGCAGCCGCAACAACAACCATCCACACCCACGCACCCATGCACCCACGCCCACACCCACGCCCATGCCCACGACCACATTTTCCCTTCTTTTTTTTTTGTCGCTTTTGGTGCCACTTTCCCCTTTTCAGTCGCTGGAGCGGCCGTCGTCCCCGGCCGCAGCAGCAACCATCCAGACCTACGCACCCACGCCCACACCTACATTTCCCCACTTTTTTTTTGGGTCCGTCACTTTTGGCGCCGCTTTTCCCTTTTTGGCCGCCATCCCCCGCCACATCAATGACCATCCAGACCCACACACCCACGCCACGCCCACATTTCCCCCTCATTTCCCCTTTTTTTTTTTTTTTTTCGTTCCGTCACTTTCGGTGCCGTTTTCCTCTTTTTGGCCGCTTCAGCGGCAGTCATCCCCGCTTCGCGTCCCCTTTTTTTTTTTGTTTGGTCAGTTCTGGTGCAGGCCGCCCGTCACGTCCCCGCTGCTCGCTTCTTTCCTTTTTTCGCTTTCCCGCTTTCTTTTCTTTTTCATTACGCTCCCACTTTCGTCGCGCTCCCACTTTCCTTTTTTTTTTCGTTTGGTCAGTTCCGGTGTAGGCAGCCTGTCTCGTTCTCGCTGATCGCTTCTTTTCTTTTTTCGTTTTCTTGCTTTCTTTTCTTTTTCGTTGCGCTCCCACTTTTCGCTTTCCCACTTTCTTTTCTTTTCGCTGCGCTCCCACGGGGGCACACACGCACATACACTTAAACATAGACAGACACAAACGCACACACATAAACACACACACACATACACACACACACACACACACACACACACACACACACACTCGCACACACACACACACA